GGAATTTCCAAAATATCAACATTTATACGTTGAAAAGGAGTTTTAGGAGTTTCTGTAATAACAAGAGGTTGATCCATATTTTGTCTATTAATTTTCATTCTATTACAAACTTCACAGGACTTAATAAAATTGTCTATGTCTTTTTGTAATGAGGGCCAATTATATTTTTCTCTAATACGTCTAAAAGTTTCATTTATACCTCTGTGGAGATTTTGTTTACCATTATGATAATTTTCTAAAATAATTTTACGTTGATCTAGGTCAGGTTCTTGAACAATATTTTTGCAGATTACAAAGTTAATTTCGTCGTCAGCAAATAAGTAAGATAATAATTCAGCTAAGTCAATGTCGTGTATGATTTCTACGTAATATGTTTTGTTTCGTTCTAGTTCGTCTTTAAATTTATAAAATAAAGAGAAAATATGCCATTTAGCATCTTCGGTATCAATAGGAATTGGAACAACAAAATATGTTCTATTAGTAACTCTTGAGCTAAGTGCAATATTAATTTTATTTGGCATAAAAAGTATATCTTGATTTAAAAAGTCTTCGATAATATCTTCATGCATACGATTTAACTTATTCTGTTGAAAAAATGTAATTATATTTTTATGTGATTTAATTAATAGATCATCATTAGTGAATGAAATTTTTGAGTAATCGGTAACAGAACGAGTTTGGCATAAATTTTTAAATATTTTATATTCTTCACAAACAGTTTCTTGAGCAATTTCAGTAGTGGTTGACTCATTATCTGGAATTTCATTATAGAAAATTTCTTCCTTTTGATTTGGGTTATTAATTCTTATTCTGGAAAGTGCATCAGCATTCTGGTTGATTTTACCTGGTTTATAAACAATATTATAATCATATTCTTCGAGTTTAAGACGCCATCGAGCTAATCTACTCGAACCTGGGTCTTTAATAGAAAACAAATAAGAAAGTGGCTTATGATCCGTAACTAATGTAAATTTTCTTCCAAAAATATATGGTCTGAAATGACTTACAGCCCAAACTATAGCTAGAAGTTCTCGATCAATTACAGGATATCGAGTTTCTGCAGGATTAAGAGTACGTGAAGCGTAAGCAATAGGTAAGTCTTTACCAATGGGACCTTGAGAGAGAATGGCACCAATTGCAAATGCAGAAGCATCTGTGGTAATTATAAATTCTTTTTCAAAATCAGGATATTGTAAAATAGGAGTAGAAGTAAGAAGTTGTTTACAAGTTTTAAATGAATCTTTACAAGAGGAATCAAAATCAAAGAAAGTGTTAGATTTTAAAAGATTGGTTAATGGTTTAATGATTTTTGCATAGTTATTAATAAAACGTCTATAATAACCGGTAAGACCTAAGAACATACGGATTTCTTTAACATTTGTTGGTTGAGGAAATTTTTGTACAGCAAGAATTTTATCAGGATTAGGTTTTAATCCATCGGGAGTAATTACATGACCAAGATAACAAACTTCTTTACGTAAAAATTCACATTTATCAGGTTGAATTCTTAAATTAAATTTCTTCAAACGTTTAAAAACTTCCGTTAACCTTTTTAAATGCTCTTCAAGAGTAGCAGAAAAAATAATAATGTCGTCCATATAGACAAGACATTTTTCGTTTTGAATACCAAACATAACATTATCCATAACTCTCTGGAAAGTACTAGGGGCATTTTTTAATCCGAATGGCATACGGGTAAACTCGTAATGACCATGGTCGACAGAAAAAGCGGTTTTAGGAATATCTTTTTCATTTACTTCAATTTAATGAAAACCATTAGCTAAATCAAGAGTAGTAAAGTATGTGCATTTACCTAGTTGATCTAAAATATCTGTTATATTGGGTAGAGGATATTTGTCAGAAACAGTAACATCATTTAACTTTCTATAGTCAATAACCAATCGCCATTTAATTTTTCCACTTGCATCGGGTTTCTTTGGAACAACCCATACTGGAGAAGACCAAGGAGAAACAGAAGGACGAATTATATTTTGATCAAGCATTTTGGAAACTTGACTACGCACTTCAGTTTTATGAATTTGGGGATATCTGTAAGACTTAGTAAAAATTGGACGTGCATTTTCTGTATCAATTGAGTGTTTTATTTGATTCGTAAATGATAATCTATCACCTTCCAAATAAAATATATCCGAATAATCAAGACACAATTTTTGAATTAAAAATATTTCTTCTTTATTTAAATGTTCTGTTCTTAATAGTTCTATAATTTTATCGTTTCTAGAAAAATTTACATGTGATATTTTATTTTCATTAAAACAATTAATTGACTCAGTTAAAGGTATTTCAGTTAATTCGAAAGGTTTTACTTTCAAAGAAATATCTTTTTCACTTGTGTTGCAAATAGTTGTGTAAAAATTACCATTAATATTTTTAACTAAAGCTTCTGGGATTATTAAATTATTTGACAAATATTGACATGAACAAATACCTTCTTTTAAATTAGAAGTAGTTTGTAATTTAACAATTTGTTCAGTCCTAGCAGGTATAGTTAAATCAATTAAATTATCATTTGAAATAAAAGTCTCATTTGTATACATAGGAATTTCTTGATTTGGTAAAATTAATTTACTCGTTTGTAAATTTATTAAGGCATTATAAAATTTAAGAAAGTCCATTCCAAATATACCGTCATATTCAAGATTTAAATTATAAATATAAATTTCAAAAGGTTTATCGAACATTTCGAATTCACACTTTTTATCAATTTTAAAAGAACTATTAACGCTATTGATTAGAATGGTACAAGGAAAAATATCGGTAGTCTCAGAAATTACGTGTGGTTTAACAACACTAATAGAAGATCCACTATCAATTAAAAATTTAAAATTACCCTTATTCATTTTTGCTACAATAAAATATAAACCACGGCTTGAATTAATATTACTCATTTGATGCGTTTGTATTGTATTAATACTTTTACTTTCTTTATAAAGATAAGGTAATATAAGGTAAATTTTAGCGTTTGTCCTTTTAAGAGTAAAATTGATCGAATCAACTTTACCATCTATAACTCCCTTTTGTTTAATAATAATTTTATCAATAAAACAATCAGAACTCTTTTTCCAAATATACACGAAATCTTGCATTTCGCATTTTAATAGATTAGATGAAAATATTGTTATCTCTTTAAATGTATCATTTTTTATAACAGTTAAATCTTTATCTAAACCAACAATAAATTTATATAGACCCTTTGTAAGGCGACATGTAATTAAATACACATGTGGTATTTTTACAATATTATAATAATTACTTTCGTTAATGGTTAACAAGTTACTTTCACGAATATTAAACTTTTTATTTATACTTAATTTCTCATTTTCATCTTTATATACAGTGTGCTTCGTAGCATCATCTGAATTATATATTTTATTAACATTTGTATCATTATTTTTCTTATGAACATTGGAAGAATTAAACATAGTTTCAATAACTTTATTATAATCAATATTAGCATTATTAGCATTATTACAAATATTATCAGTGCGCTTCGTAGCAACCACTGACTTAATATTTTCATCTTTAAGACAAGTACCATCAACAGATGCATACAAAGTATCGTCAACCGACGTATACAGTGTCTTATTAGAATCATTAAAATTATTATAATTAATAAAATCAGTCTCATCAATAGATGGACAAGATATATTTTCTTCCAAGTCATTATTTTTAAAATTATTCGAGAAATTAGTGTAAACATTATTAAAGTTTAAAATTGAGTCTTTTCTTTTGAAGTTGAAGGCTTTGGATTCTCGTAAAGGGCGTTTGTCGTCGGGGTAGATTTGCCCACGTTCTCCCCTCGTTTGAAGTTTAAATTATTATTATTAGCTTCCCTCTTTAATTTAAAACAATCGGCTCTAATATGACCAATTTTATTACAATATGAACAAGTTTTTGATCGGTTAAAATTCCGGTTTACTGGTTCAGGTACATAGTTTCGTGTTGCTCTTTTAATTTCATTATGCAAAAACCCTGGCTTAAAGAAATTTTCTTCCCAGTAATCGTTAAAGCTTTGATTTTTATTTGATGGAAAGGTATTTTTATTATTAAAATTTTTATTTGGATTAAAATTATTGTTCCTTGAAAGATTATTAGAATGATTAAAATTATTATTTCTGTTAAAATTATTAGAACGATTAAAATTGTCATTTCTATTAAAATTTGAGGACTGAGAATAATTTTGATACCTTTTGTTTTCTTCAAAATAAGTTAATTGTAATTCACGTTTAATACGAATGGTTGCTTCGTATAAGTTGTGGGGATTAGATGCACGGATTATTGGAGCTATTTTATGATTTAGACCTGTAAGAAGAGTATCTGAAAGGATGTATTTTTGTTTGCAAATTAATCTTAGAACTAAATTGATTAAATAATGCTAAACTATAAATAGTTTCTTAATACCTCAATAATAATTACACTATGTAACAAAATTTGATTTTTGTTTTGTTTATTGGATTTTTTTATTATATTATTAATATTTGTGTGCCAAAGAACTATTCTAATCTAATTTGAAAAATTTAGTGATAAGTTTTTATTTTTTTAAGGGGTATTTATTTATTATAATTAAACCCAGTTTTATCAAAAACAAAAAAATTTAATGACAAGAAATGGCAAGAAATTTAACGGAAATTTTCACGGAAAAAGTCAAGATGCGAATGCAAATAGTGTACTTTCAACGACATGCGGCATCCCATTTCTTTAAAACTTTCTAATAAATCTTTGACAAGGTCAGTATAATTTTCACTTTTGTGGTTACCAAGGAAACCTTTTGTAACATTGCGAAATGCTCTTCAAGCGGTTTTTTCGTTATTTTTTTTATCTGAGGTTTGGTAAAAATTCCTGCTTTCACTTTTGGAATTGTAAGACTAGGAAACATTAATCTAATAAACTCAAAAGCAGGTGAGTTTGTGTCCAGAGCAAATTGTTTAGCCAGTCCTAGTTTTATATGCAATGGTGGGAGTAAGATTTTTCCTTACTAACTATAGAGGCTCATTAATTACGTTGTCCTTTCCTGGAATATGATCTTCTCTTGCAGGCCATATGCATCTCACATAGTTTTCTTTATCCGCTCGGCTATCCCACTTACACAAAAAACAAGAATATTTGGTATAACCACCTTGCAATCCCAGAAAGAATCCTAGCATTTTAAAATCTCCGCAAACATCCCACTGATATTGATGATATTGGATTTTCTCGAGGAGGGTCTTGACATTGGCGTAATCTTCCTTTAAATGTGCCGAATATGACACAGGTATTGAAGGCAGTTCCATTATGTAACTCGACACGAAACTATCAATGAATAGACGCCAATGCTTAGTATCATGAACTAACCCAATTTCGTTAAAGAGTTCATTAACGTTTACGCAAAAGCACAATTGGTCCTGGTCGGCATAAAAATAAGAATAGTTCTGGTGTCTCTTTCGGCAAGAAAATTCCATTATTTTAGTCTTGATCCAAGAATTTCAGATTTTTCTTTAGTAAGACCCAAATCTCCTACCAAATCATTTAACCTTTGCTGATTTATTAAACGGGGTTCATATTCTGTGTCTTTGTCGCATTCGACACTATTTTCATTCTCGATATCTTCCAAAAAAGGTTCTGAATCCATAGAATTTTTGGAAATACCTGGTGGAAGTGGTACAGGGAGCAGCTGACTATGTAAAACTGGTGCACTGGTGCATGGTAAATCAGGATAAGCTATATTTTTACGATTAGATTTCTTTTTGTACGTTTTTAGGTAAATAGCAATCCGAAATGTGATTGGTAGGCTCCCTCCATATTCTAGGAATACCAAAGGGCATTTTTCTTTTTTCACCTCTATACCATGACTCTAGAGTGGATCTGCAGCTACCACAAATAATATTCGGTGTCCAATTTTTGTCTTGGTTGCAAATAGGCATGCCAAAATAAGACTTATAGGCGTTCGATAACTTCGTATCTGGGACAATTTCAAATTTCACTTGCTTTTTTCCTATATAATATCCACAAACATAGCAAAACAAATCTCTAGAATGCTTACAATTTCTTTTTGACGACATTTTAAAATACACGTAATGACACTCAAAGCTATCAACACGATCTGACGGCTGTCGTTGAAAATTTGACAGTTTGAAAAAAACAAATGTATGTTACGTAATCAGCATGGCCTACTACGATTTTTCTAATAAAATCCAGATAAACAAATATCATGTTACATAGTGTTATTATTTATAACTAAATACCATTTTTTATACCTCAATTAGTATTAAATTAATAATGTTTTTTTTACCTTAAATGAGGTATTTTTATTAAAAATAGTACAATAATCCTTTAAATTAAAGGATTTAATGCTGGCAGCGAATGAAATAATGTATAAAACTTAAACCAAAGGAAACTTAAATATTAGTTAAAAAATCGTGGGTACTTAAAAAATCAGATTTAATTTAATAAGATAATTATTACAAAAAAAAAGTGATATTGGAAATCGAACAAAATTTGATTTTTTTTCTTTACAGCGCCATCTACTACAACGATACCGTTCTTGATCTGCCGCCATTTTAGCGGTTTTGAATTTGCGTCTTGTCTTCCTTAATTTACGTCGTAAATTTTCCTTTTTCTCTTTAGAGGAAGTAGTAACGGGCGAGTGTCGACGCATTTTGCCCATTTTCGTGATAAATCGAGCACAATTTTACTAAAAACTTAAGTTTTGATTTAAAAAACGTGGTTACCCTAAAGCACGAAAAAGAATAATGACATAAGCAGGTCTACCAACATCGATAGGTAGGTATTAAACATTTTTTTTATCTGTAAAATCGGAGTGCCATCTAGTTAGACAGGACGCAAATACAGGGTGTTTCAGAATAAGGTGCTGTACCTTAAGGGTGTGAATCCTTAGTTGATTTTAAGAAAAAAAGTTCAAATAAACCTAGGACCTAAACCTCTTAATTTTTGAGTTACAGGGTGTTAAAGTTTTAAGAAAAAAATCGTTTTTTATCATAACTTTAATAACTTCCTAGATATTTTTATAAAATTAATGTTTTCTGACATATCAAGGTTGCTTAGTAAGGAATGATTGTGAACTTGTTTGGTGCTCATCATAAAGCTATAATTCATGTATGAAACTGTTTCCATCATAAAACAAATATGACTTGGAGGTAATGTTGACGTTTGCGTTGCAGGATGGCCTGCCGCGTGCTAATCGCCACTCTCGCCATCCCTCTGCCATCCGCTCACCCGGAATTCGACCGTTTCATCGAAACCGACAAGTCTCCGTTGGAGAAGGCGCAACGTCTCGCCGTGCTGCTCGGTCTGTACCAACCTCCGACCAGACAGAGCCTCCTCAAGGAGCTCGTGCGCGTCAACGTCGTCAACTTGGCGACGCCGCAGCTCAAGGAGCTCTACAACTGGCTCGAGGTGGAGTTCCATCCGCTCTTGCTTTGCAACAGAGTGCACACCGTGATCCACTCGTTGGAGGCCGAGGACAACTCCCTGCAGCAGTACGTCAACGCGTTGCAAGACGTGACTCTGGTGCGCCTCGTGCGGCAGATAGCGCAGGTCTACCGGACCATCGAGTTCGCGCGTCTGATCCAGCTGGCCGAGTTCGCGACGCCGTTCCACTTGGAACGGCTGCTGGTCGACTGCGTGAGGCACAACGACATGCAGATCCGCATCGACCACGGCAAGCGGTGCATCCACTTCGGCATGGATCTGAGCGAGAGCCAGCGCGAAGACAAGCCGGAAGGGCCCACCTTGCAGGTGATGCCCAGCGAGCAGATCCGCAATCAGTTGGTCAACATGTCGACCGTGCTGAACCAGGCCATCGCCGTTATTAATCCCGACAAGAAGAAGTTGGAGCGCGAGAAGTTAAGGCAGAGCATGGTGCAGAACTACCACGAGACTAAGGTGAGGGAGCACCAGAAAATTTTGCAGCGTCACAAGATCATCGAGGACAGGAAGGAGTACATCGAGCGGTTGAACACCGTGCGGGAGGAGGAAGAGCAGAGGAAGATCGAGGAGATGCAGAGGCAGCACGTGATGGCGGAGCAAAAGCGTTTGGAGCACGAACGCGAGGAGCGCGAGAGGAAACGCGCTCTGAACGAGATACAGCAGATCAAGGATCGCCAGTTGAAGGAGAAACTGATTCAGATCTCGCAGACCGGTCACGGGCAGAAGATGCTCAAAAAGCTGAACGAGGAGGAGATCAAGAAGCTGGACGCGGATCAGATCGCCGCCAAGGAGAGCGAGGAGCTGCAGAAGGAGCGTCGCGAGCTGCAGGCGAAGCTCAAGTCGCAGGAGAAGAAGGTGGACTACTTCGAGCGCGCCAAGCGCCTGGAGGAGATCCCGCTGGTGCAGGTGAGCATGAAGGAGCGCGAGCTGCAGGACCGCGCGTTCTGGGAGCAGCAGGAGAGGGAGCTGATCGCCGCCAAGGTGGAGGAGCGCAAGCTGGCGGTGACGACGCGCGACCGCTTGGCCAGGATGAAGCCCGATAAAGATGAATTCCTGAATAAGTTGAAGAAAGAGAGGAATATCGTTTTCGAGGATAAGTTGAAGGAGTACGAGGATTTGTACGCGGAAGAGAAGCGGAAACGGTTGGCGGAGAGGAAGGCGAAGAGGAAGGAGGATAGGCGCGTTCGCTACTACAGGGAGAAGAACGAGGAGGCGGAGAGGAAGCGCGTCGAGAGGCAGCAACGCGAGGAGGAGGAGAGGAGGCGGGCGGAGGAGGAGGCGAGAGCCGCTAGGGACGAGAAGGAGCGGGCGGAGCGCGAGGAGAGCGAGAGGACTCAGAGGGAGATGCTGGAGAGGTCGGCGGCCAAGCAGCGGCAAAGGGAGGAGGAGATCGAGAGGAAGTTGCTGGAGGAAAGGGAGTCGGGCAAGGCGCCGCCGAAAAGCGGCAGGGACGATATGTGGCGGAAGGGGGGCGACAAGGAGGTGGAGAGAGATTCGTCGTGGAGGAAGGACAAACCCGGCGGCGGCGAGGAACCTCCGAAGAAACCTGAGCATTAACAGTAAGTTTTTGATGTAGAAGATTTTTTATTTTTTTTACCTGTGGCGTCCGTACAGGATGTGGTCTAGATATTTTTGGAAAAATATTATGCACGCCACTGCTTTTTTTCAAAATAAAAATAATTTTTTAAATCCCCATTCATTTTAGGGCAAATTTGATTTCTTGACCATTTTTCGTACGACTAACGGTTTTCGATGAAAAAAATAAAAACCCACCAGTGAGGAAAACTGGACAAATTTCTACTAGGGATTCACAGTTTTTAATTGAAATTTTACTTTTCTTTTGCATTTATACAAATTATAATAAATTTATGTTTGGTTATTCTCAAGCATTTTCTAATTTTATTTACTTTTTACCCAATAACTTTGGGGTGAGTGAATTTGCTCAAAGTAATTAAAAACAACCTATAAAAGCAGCTAAGCGCGTCCTTAATAAAACAGTAAAATTTAATGTGTCCCAGTAAAGAAAGCTTTGAATAAATTAAAAAAATAAATTAAAACGTTTTAAGCATACATACAAAATATTAAACGTATGCAATTCCAAGTGAAATAAAATAAAGAAACATGCAAACTATTTAAAGTAAAAAATCTTCAGTATTAGACGACATTTATCTTAATATACCTTTGTTAAATAGTTTTACTAGAATATTTGGTGTCTTAAAAAAAACGCAACCGACCAAAAAATTATCTAAAAAATTTGTATTTCTACGAGCATGCAAAAAATATGCCATATTATACTAAAGTTACTATGCATGCGTGCTAAAAGTTGCAATTTATTATTATTATTAGATTTTTTTCAATTTTAAAGTAAAAGGAGATGGAGGAAGAAACATTAAAGAAAATATCATTGATAGAGTACCGGAGATTCTGAAAGAAGCTAAAAATTTAATGGTCGAAAAAAAAAACGAAAAAATGTTTGGAAACAATTAAAAAAATTTAGTAAATGGTTAATTTTTCTTACGTTTGTAAAATAAATAATATTTCGCTTCGCGTCGTCCGGTCAACTGCATAAACCATAATACTTTTCCGCATGCGGAAAAGTATTATGGTTAACTTAAGAATTCGGGCTTACATTACTACAAACTGCTCTAAGGCATGAGTTATCATTGAAAACGTCGTGCATTTTTTAATGGTAAATAAAATTAGTTCACTGTTGACTATTAATAATAAATAATTTTTTAGGTACAATTGTTTTTATATTTTTAATTTTAATAAAATAACTAGCATTAAAACTTTTATAGTAAATTTGATTACAATGTTGTAAAATAATTTAAATAAGATTAGATTAAAATACCGGAACCACGTAACTCTCATACTACTATTTTGCTTGTAGTCAGTAACTTTTGAAGTTTGAAGAGTGGTTCCCTGATGTAGTCACCTAGTGTTGGCTTCTGACTTTCTATCTAGCCGAACCGCATCTTCAAAGTGGCATAGTAGGCGCTCCATTTGTATGTTA